TCTTCCAACCCAAACAGTTCTGATTCTATGACTTGTCCCCATCACACACAGGCGGCTCGACACCTTGCTCTGACTGCCAGGTCGCTTTTGTCAACCTCAAGTGTGACTCATCCAAGAAGGGGAAGGGCCGCCGGGCTCGCAACTCGTCCAACAAGGAGGTGACACGCATCACGCTGGAGTTCGAGGCAGAGATCAAGCCAGAGGAGATCACAGGTGGGCAGGAGTGGTGGGACTAGGGGGACAGTGTTGGGGCCAGGGGGATGAGGGTGGGACCAGAGAGATGGCGGTGGGGCCAGGGGGATGGTGGTGTGACTAGAGGGAGGGCGGTGTGACCACAGGGATGGTGCCATCCCCATGCAGTAGGGAGAGCTGAACGAGTCCTCATCCCTCACTGGACTGGGATGTGCTGGGGCAGCACCTGGGGGACAGTTTTAATCCCGCGGGGTTCCACTCTCCACCCCTCCCTTCATCCTGCACCCCCCTTCCCCCCTGCGCCCCCAGCCAGCTGCAACCTGCACTGCCTGCGACAGAGAGTGGAGAAAAAGCTGAAGTCTGCCATCAAAGCTCTGAAGAAGTCCATCAACCAGGAGCGGTTCCTGCTGCGCTTCGCGGGCATGGAGTACGAGGTGGCGCGGAAGCTGAGCGTGGCCCCCGAGAGGCAGGAGGGCTGGGGGGCCCCGGGGCAGCAGCGCCTGGGCACCAAGTGTGGTAAGGAGCACCCTGGGGTGGGTGGGGCCCTGACGCTGGTGACACCCCCACCCCCTCATCGGGGACCCGGTTGGGTGGGGACCCGGCGGTGCTGGGGCACCGCTTGGACGCCGTGGTCCTAAAGGTCTCTTCCAACGGGAAGGATTGTGTGTGTGTTTGACTGTGTGACCCCTGACGTGCCCCTGGCTCTCAGTCAGCTGCTCGCAGGGGACCTATTACCACGGCCAGACAGAGCAGTGTGTCCCCTGCCCCCCCGGCACCTACCAGGAGAAGGAAGGGCAGCTCTCCTGCGACCTGTGTCCCCGTGGTGATGCTTTCGGACCCGTGGGAGCCACCAACATCACCGGCTGCACAGGTGAGGGGCACAGAGAGAGGTTGGGAGGGGCACTTGGGGGATGTCCAGGGCTGCAACCTCAACCACCAGCCCCCATCTCGAAGAGTGGAAAGCCTTGAGTGTCCCCAGGACATGCAGAAGTTGATAGGATGAGAGGAAATGGCCTCAGGTTGCCCCAGGGGAGGTTGAGGTTGGCCCTGAGGAACAATTTCTTGCCCTGGAGGGTTGCCCAGGGCTGTGCCAGGCTGCCCAGGGCAGTGGTGGAGTCCCCACCCCTGGAGGGGTTTCCAAGACATGGAGATGTGGTGTGAGGGACACGAGTCAGTGAGGACCTGGCAATGCTGGGTTAATGGTTGGCCTCCAAAATCTATAAGGTCTTTTCCAACCAAAACGATTCTGCGACTGTATTCTATGAAGTTTCTCTTAAAGCTGGGGAAGGACTGCTTAGCAGGTCCTGTTGTGAGAGGACAAGGGGTGATGGTTTGCAACTAAAAAGGGGAGATTTAGACTAGAGAGCAGGAAGAAATTGTTGCTGCTGAGGGTGTTGAGCCCCTGGCCCAGGCTGCCCAGAGAGGTGGTCGCTGCCCCATCCCTGGAACCATCCCAGGGGAGGTTGGCTGGGGCTCTGAGCACCCTGCTCTAGCTGGGGATGTCCCTGCTCAGGGCAGGGGGGTTGCACTAGATGAGCTTGAAAGGTCCCTTCCCACCCAAATCCATCTGGGATTCCATGTTGGGCATTATTCACTTAGAAGGGACTCTGGGAAGGGCAGCGCTGGCTCTGGGCACATGGATGCTGTCAGTCTGGGGGTTGAGGAGCTGGGCATGGGGCAGGAGAGCCCTGGGGTGCCAGGACTGAGCGCTGCCTGTGCCCACAGGTCAGTGTCCCCCCGGGCAGCACTCAGCTGATGGCTTCAAGCCCTGCCAGCCGTGTCCCCGTGGCTCCTACCAGCCCGAGGTGGGACGGG